GGGTTCTCAATAGCATGTTAAGGAGTTTCTATTTTATGCTGAACATGTCCTTAAATATGCAGAGTTATTTAAGATTGAAAAAGTCATGATGATGCAAACCTCACCACAAGAAGCAGATGATGTCTTAATTTATCCTCTTCCTGTACTCCCTCGGAGAGAATGATGACTGTAGGGTTTAGAAACCTTTGATTTTAGAGCTCAGAGTGCAGGCTATTTAAACCACAGCAAGTATTTGATAAATATGGCTACATTATTAGCATACAATTATTAAAATAGATATATGATAGAAAAAAATATAGAAAAAGGAACACCTTTAACATCTTAAATGTCTCATGAGAGCCCACAACTCAGTTTATGCCTAATAGTCTGATAATCAAGATGTTCAATTTTATTGTCCTCACTTATCAATACCTTTCACATTTAAGCTGTCAATGAATTTCTAAGTTAAGAGTGTATTAATTGGTTTCTCTTCTATGTGCAATATCAGATTGTTGCATTTCTCTATCGGCAGTAAACACATTCTGCCTAGTATTATAGTTATTTCTGGGTAGATTTCTTTTACTAAATTAAAATTTCTTGAGGGTAAGAAACACGTCCTTTTCACTTTGTGTTCACACACCTAGAGCAGTGACTTCTAGTTAGTGGGTATTCAATAATTACTTCAATGACCGAGAGCAGTGAAATATAAACTAGATTTTCAAGGCCAATTACATGAAATTGTTCGTAGGAGATTATATCGATCCAAGGTACTTGGGACTTAACCATTTTGAAAGACGATAACTTAATTTCTTTAATATACAAGGAACACAAATTTAAAGCTTCATCTCTGCATCATACCTGAGAAGGCAGATAGTGCTGTGCAAAGGGCTTGTCTTCTACACATAGTGCCTCCTCTGAGATAGCATTAATTGCTTATTTTGTATCATTTCCATAATATTTCTCTGTGCTCCTTAGAGATTATGTCTTGCTTTTTTTTTGAGACAGAGTCTTGCTCTGTCGCCAGGCTGGAGTGCAGTGATCCAATCTCAGCTCACTGCAACCTCTGCCTCCTCAATTCAAGCAATTATTCTGCCTCAGCCTCCCAAGTAGCTGAGATCACAGGCGTGTGCCACCACGCCCTGCTAATTTTTTTGTATTTTTAGTAGAGGCCGGGTTTCACCATGTTGGCCAGGATGGTCTCGATCTTTTGACCTCGTGATCCGCCCACCTCGGCCTCCCAAGAGAGAGATTATATCTTAATCTTTGTGATGTCACATGTGGTCAAAAAACTTGTGTTAGATGAATAAATGGCCATGTGACAAACCAATTTACATTTTGAGCTTGAGTTTTCTCTTTTCTAAAATCAGTCTAGTAATCCTTATCTACTTCAGAGAGTATCAGTCAATAATAAAAGTTCTTATAATTGGTGATAAATTATACACAATCTTTTTGGGATAGAGTTGGAGTGTGAAATAAATGGAATTGTAGGGTATTAAGTGAAAATTAGAAATGTTTGATAGCATGACACTTTGCCAAAATAACAGTAGATTTTGGAGCCAGAATGCCTGAGTATGAATCTGATCTCAGACATTTATTAGCTCCAAGACCCTGGACAATCACTTAACTTTCCTGTGCATTTGGCTTTTTTAACCTGTAAAATAGAAGTACTATTGGTACCTTACAGGGTCATTGTGCTAAGTAAGTTAACACCTGGCTAGAGCACAGAACTGCTAAGCACTCACTAAGTGCTAGCCATTATTTTGTCTTTATATATGAATTTAATACTGCAGTAGCCACTCTAATGTGATTTAATGCTTTTGCTCATTTTCATATTCCCAGCACATAGCTGAGTACACAGTCCATAGATTTCAGTGTTTTCTTGAATAAGTGAAAAAATAAATGCTTTACACATTATAAATGGACATTTTCTGTATTGATATTCCCAAGATCACCTTAAAGTCATTTAGGTCAACTTAGAGAAAAGAAACCAGAAATTACAAATAGTGACTAGCTGTCTAAAGTGCTATTGAATGGGTCTAGTTGTACTTCTTGCCTCAGAACAAGAGATGGTCAATGCGTAAACTTCCTCCACTTCTTGTTGATAAATGCTGCAGATACTTACCACTTTTAATCCCAAACTCCTTTTATTCCAGTGTTTTCTCAGCTTTTCAGATTAGGAGACAAAAGGCTTCCATAGGTGCTGATGGCATTTAATACCTCTCATTAATACCATGAATTCACCCTGGAACAAAAAGGGAGCTCTGGGGTCCAGCAGCAACTGCCCTTGACAGGCAAGCAATAAGCTGGAGCAGCAGTAGGGGACAGGAAGTATTGGGAGCTTAAAAATCATATCACCCTTATACCGAGGTGTTCATGGCATTTGAAAGGTTGGGCAGATTTGGGCAGAACATGAATTAGGAATCAGTTCCCCAGAGTGGGAACCACCAGAAGTTATCTCCGGTGATGTATAGGAAAGGAAATGGAAGTTTTTGGTCTTTGTAATGAAACCCAAGGGAAATCTGAATCTCTCCAGGTAATGGAATCTGGTGCTCTAATTAGAAGCACTAATTAAACTCAGCTCAGCACTGAGCTGAGATTTGTGTTTTTGGTAGTTACAAGCATTCCTACAAAATTCTCTCCAGCCACTAGACTCGTGGAAGGGAATTTTTTAGGTTTGGCTGTTTTCTTTCTGTTGTTGTTCCTGCTTAATTGTCTCTCTTCAAATTGATTAGTCAAGAAGCAAACAGTATTACTTATTAAACACCTTTTGTGAAACAGCATGATAGAATTATGCTAGATGACTCATGGCTCTTGTTTGAATTCATCCTGTAGATATTTTTAAAAGAATGAAGCGTGCCATGTCCTGGTACTATCTCTATTTGATTTGGTGTAGGCTGCCGTGGGTCCTGTACTAAACAAGGGAAAAAGGAAAGGTCTTTATTAGTTTCATAAAGAACAAGCACCAAGCAAGTCCTTAGTCTTTACCAAAACAAGGCCAAAAAGAGTTGATTCATTTTCTTATTTGCCTAGAAACTGAATAGTACGTGTAAAATGGTCAACAAGAGCTGGGAACCAGAGGGATAAAATAGATTTGTCCTGTGTCGTTTTTTCCCAATCCAGTCATAGTAGCTTTATTTGACTTGCACATATAAGGTTTGAAGAAAGAGGATATGTGAAGGAAAAAAGACTAAAGGGAAAACACTCCTTCCAAAGGAGTTTATATGGGGGTCACAGTGTTCTTATTGCCAGAAATAATATGTTCTGTACTGTGTGTACAGCAGAGGGAGTCTTTCCAGGTTGGATCCTGTATCAGGTTCTTTATGGATACACTACATAGAAAAGCACTCAGTTCTATTTTGGGGGTAGATTAAGTGAAAGCAATGATACTTAGATCATTTCTGGAGCTGGCACATAGTTCTCATCAAGTTCTGCATAAGAATAAGAGAAATGAGTTTGCATATAATTCAGACAATCACAGACAGTGTAGTCTTCTTGAAAGTAGCTTTCTGTTAAGATCCAGAAATTTAACTCTTATTTCTGTGTCTACAGATTATTCCTATTAGGGTTTGGTTAGAATTGAGGTCCACATGCAGCCCGTCTTACCAATATTCTACAAATGTGTTTGGTGAGCTAATGAAGGAATAAAATCACTTACCTCCTTTCTACTGCTCTAGTTCTATTAAGTGTAATACGCAGAACAATGTATAGTAAATATTTTCTTTACATATTTGAGAAAAATCTCTGGAAGATAACTTGGCTATTTTGATTCTCAGTTCTGGGTTTTCTTCGTCCTTCACGTATCATTCCCTCTTTCTAGTGAATGCTTAGTCTTTCAATTTATTTCTATTTTATTAGGAAGTAATACTTTCATTGTAATATTCAGGAAGGGGTGGAGTGATATCATACATGCATCCAATGACCTTGTGGCTTTAGCATCTAAGTCCAACAAAGATGAGAACAATGCCTGAGCATTTGAGAGTGGCAGATGTTCAGTGGGGCCACAGAGGAAGGGCCCATGTGGGATGAATGACAAGCACCAGGTAGCCATGCTCTTCTCAGTGACTTTTTAAAGATGGGTTCTATCATTCAACATTTAGAGTAACAACCAGTGTTTTCCGAGTACCTACTACATATCTAACATGAAACCCACTTACTTTTATACATTTTTCTTTCTAATTCTCAAAACAACAAACATAACATGTATTAGGGTAATAGTGGCTTAATATTAGAAATTGGAGTTAAATGTGTAGGCAAGAAAAAGCACTTTGGAATTTTCCATTCTTTCTCCATTCACACTGAAAACTTGAGAATTATCATAAGGGAAGAAAGGCAAAAAGGCTCGGACATTTACATACAGACTTTCCCTTTATTTCTTCCTTTAGTTTAGCTCAGGGTTCTCAATTCTAAATGTGAATGCATGTTACTATATGTACTAATTTCACATATATTAAACTTTAAGGGTGATTTAAGGGAGTTCAAGATGATCTTGACTATGCCAGGTTTTTGCTTTAGGCATTGACTTTAACCCCCAATTAACAACAAACTCCGCTTATTCAAAATAAGCAATGTGAATTTTAAAATATGTTTTAAAATTTCAGAAACAGTGGTTATTGGCAAATGATGTTTCAGTGGGTTATGGAAGGATAGAGAAAGTCATTGAATCATCTTCTCCTTTTTTTTTTGGAGACAGAATTTTACTCTCATTGCCCAGGCTGGAGTGCAATGGCGCGATCTCGGCTCACTGCATCCTCCGCCTCCCAGGTTCTAGTGATTCACCTGCCTCAGCCTCCTGAGTAGCTGGGATTACAGGTGTGTGCCACCAGGCCCAGCTAATTTTTTTGTATTTTTAGTAGAGACAGGGTCTCACCATGTTGGCCAGGCAGGTCTCAAACTCCTGACCTCAGGTGATCCCACCTACCTCTGCCCCCCAAAGTGCTGGGATTACAGGCATGAGCCCACCCCTTCCACCCTTCCCTGAATGTTATAATAAAAGTATCACTTCCTAATAAAATAAAAATAAATTGAAAGACTAAGCATTCACTAGAAGGAGGGAATGATATATCAAAGACAAAGATAACCCATAACTGAGAATCAAAATAGCCAAATTATCTTACAGAGGTTTTTCTCAAATGTGTAAGGAAAATATTTACTATAAATTGTTCTATGTATCACACTTAATAAAACTAGAGCAGTAGAAAGGAGGTAAGTGATTTTATTTCTTCATTACCTCAACAAATACATTTGCAGAATACCTATTGGTATGATGGGCTGGATGCTGACCTCAATCCAACTGATGCCCAGCCAATCATCTTTTCTATCATCAACATCTTGTTGTACTTGGCTCCATTGCCAACTACAGGAAAGCAAAATAATCAGATAAAGAAGAGTTCTTCAGGTTCAAACTTTCTTTAATTAAGTTCTCTTTCTTTTACAGTCCTATAGTATAAGAGAAATCTCTCAACCTTTTTCTGTATTTTTTCTAACCTATAAGAAGAAAAGGTAGAGACATATTTACAATAAGTAAGTTTTAAAATCCCTCCTTTCCACCCAAAATTATAACTTTCTCTGAAACAGCCCTTCCTTCTTAAGTCTTCCAAGGTAATCCTTTGCCACATGGCACTACAACCCAGGGTTTAAGAGCAGTGGTCTCAAAGCCAGACAAATGGGATATAAATTGCAAATCTGCCCCTGGATAGAAGAGTTACTTTGTGCAATTTACTTAACCTCTCTGAGACTCAGTTTTCTCAGTCATATAATGGGGATAATTTCTTAATTCCTCTTAGAACTGTTAAGGGGAATATGCCTGGAACTAAGCAGGCATTCAATATTCGTTGACTAAATAAGAATTGTGCAACACACAGTATTGAAGCAAGCACGTAGTTAGTTCTTATTAAACTAGAGTTATTATTATAACTTCCTCTTCACTGCTAAATAAATGAGAATGATTTTGTTTTAAACATTCTAAATAAACAGAATTGCAGACTTGGTAGACATGAGGACATTGGTGGGAAAAATAGAATATCAGTGTATAAGTAGTAAGGCACTGTTTGAGTGATTTCATTTGTAAATTCAAATTTTGCCCAGTTCCAATTCTGCCACTGGAGCTCACCCCGTGAGGTGGCAGCAGGCACAGGGTCATGAGTGCATTTGTGCACCTCCATAACCAGAGCCTCCACACTTGCCTTCACCTGTGTTGCTCCAGCACCAGCTCATCCTTGCTCGCATGGTCTCCTTCAGGCCTTAGTGGTACCGGACTCATGAGTCTATCTGTTCTCATTTCTTCTGGTCTGGGATCCTTACCTAGTCTTCTATGAGGTCTTCCCACTCCATTGGTCAGCTCCTGCCAAGCTCACTGGCTTCCAACTCAGCAACCCAGGGCAGCTACACTTCAAGGCCTCTGCCTGACTACACAGCACTGCCCAGCTGACTGTGTTAGGATTATTTTTCAGATTGGAATAGAACATTCCATAAGGTGACTTCTTCCAATAGTGCTAAAGGCCAATGTGGCAAAAGCTCCCATGCCATTCAGATTTTCTTCAATGTACCTAATACATTTGTTCTCTATGTTGAAATTATTCCTAGAGACATCAGATGAGCTATCAGGAGACCTTCAAAGATGACTGTACTCTGCTTTCTGTCTTTCTCCTCATATTTCCACAGTCTTCTTTCATTGCCTTTATATCATACACTCCTCCATCTAAATGCCAACTAAGCCTTAATGGTCCAATGGCTAACTCCTCTCTAGTTTATGTTAATTCTATAAGCTTAATCCTGCATGCTTGGTTGTTGATCTGCTAATAAAGGAGGGAAATAAAGGAATTTTAAAATCTTCTCTCAAGACAATATCTTGGTTTGTTTTTTCTGCATAATCCTATTTCTGCATGTCAGAAGCTAAATATTACCTTGGTCTTATTCTTTGCACTGCTTCACAACAAAATTCTAATCTCTTTGAAGACAGATGGATGCCTTGGATGAATTAGGCTGAAGATCTTATATCTGCAAAAGCAAGAGAAAAAAGGGTCACTCATAATTTCTTGAATATTTCCCTACAATGTTTCAAGAGCAAAGTGGAATTTACTGGGAAATTTCCTCTAAAGAATATTACAGAAACATTTGGGCCGTAAAAGCCTGCATAATCTTTTTAAATAACTCATCTATTATTTGTATACAGTACAAAATGCACAAAATAAACCAGACCGACTCTCCAAATTCTATGCAGTTATAACTCTTTGTGTTGTATAGATACATTCTCAATGTAAGCTATATTGGTGATTTTATGGTATTGACATTTATTTATATTGAACTAAGCTATGATTGGTTTCCCTAAATGGAGCCTTAAAAAACTATACAGCTTTTTTCCAACAACCTTCAAAGATTAAGATTGTTGTTTTCTGTTATAATGAAACTAATAAATTGTTCAGCCTGGTTTAATTGCTAGTGTTTCTTGTACACAATGATGTACATTTTAAACTAGAAAAGCAGAAAATTATGTTTTCTTTGGCAGGCATTTGATGTACTTGGAAGAGTTGAAGCTTACCTTAAGCTCCTTAAATCAGAGAGTTTAAGTCTGGCTGTTTTGGCAGCGAGGCATGAGGAATTACACAGAAAAATTAAAGACTGCACAGCTGATGCTTTGCAAAAGGGACAAACCGTAATCAGCCAAGTAGCCTCCTGCAGGTGAGTCAAGTCTATTTCTTCCTCAGTGTAAAAAGCTTTTTCACAGCTTCCACAACCTGTTAAAAAAGATGCATGATTGTCTTTTTCTGGTTCAGTTGTTTTGCTGCATTATGATATGGCTTAAAAGGATCTATTGAAGTTTGATCAACAGCTATTCTGAACACAGCCATTGCTCATCCAGAAGTGAGGCCATATTCTGAGCCTGGGGACTTATATATGCTAAAGCTTTCTGTTTACTTGGTTCTGAGGAGGGGAAAGGGGATGGAAAAAATAAGAAATGGAGCTTTAGTTCTCAAGGCTTTTCAAACCCTAGCATCTTCATGGAATAGCTCCTTCCCTTTGGTTTGTGAATCTTGAGTCTGTCCTGCCCCTTTTTTTCTTTCTGGAAGAAAATAAAATACCAGAATTTCCTCCAGTTATGACTTTGGTGGCTCACCATGCAAAACCCTAAGTAAACAGTGATAATTTGAATACAACTGCTGGGCTCCAGACCCCATGCTTTTGAACCATGCTCTAGGTGGGAATGTTTTATGAGCACATTTGGTGAATACATCAGTATTGAGCATAGTAGGCATGATGAGAGAGAAAAATCTTGAGAAACAGAGAGAGAATGCAGTGGGAAAGCATGGGAAAGAACAGGGATTGGAAGACAAAGAGGAAATGACAGAGCAGATAGTGGAAAGCATATTGACCAGGAAGAAATGAAAGCAGGGCTTACATTTTGGCAGAGAGCGACAAAACAAGAATTTCAAATAGGTTAAAACCAGTTTTTCAGCTTCCATGTCTACAGTCTCCCTGAAACTCAAAGACATTCAATTTGAAGAACCATAAATAGGTAAAATATGATAAAATCATTTTATTTCTGTTTAAACCCTTGTTCTGTTGATTTGGTAAGTTTGGGTTTGGGGAAATATTCTTTCCAGAAGACAGTCTGAATCCAGACAGAGGTATTTAACCCAGGGTTTGTGATGTTTGCTACAGAACCATGCACAACTAAGATTAGAAATAATCCAAGGTCTTCCAATAAAATCCAAAACGTTGAGGCTATGAGGACCAGGGATTCTCCCCTTTGAAAAATGAATGACTATGTTTTTTTTCTAAGTTTCTTTACTTTAGCTCCAAGCCTTGTATCAAGTAATAGGGTGTTAACCAGGCGTCAGGAGTTTTAAGGCGTTCCCATCTAGGCACAAAATATGGGTACAGGCACTCCTCCTTCTCCTCCTTTCTAGCTTTTCCAGAAGGTATAAATGTCTTGAGCAATACAGTAACACACTATGGGGTGGAAGAGACACTTATTGTGCCTGGACTCACAGTACATGTTGGTCATTGATTTGAGTCATATCATGACTGAATTAGGTGGTTGGGTTTCCATTTATCATTTTAAAATGATACATTCCCAGTTTAACAAATGGGTCTCAAAGTACAGACGTTATTTCTCTGGTCAGGCTACTCTTTGCTTGTGGCATGTTCCCTGGCTATGGAAAGGTTCCTTTCGCACATGGGGAGATCACCATGTAGCCAAAGACCTCTGGCCAAATCTCTGGAGTTCTGTTTGTGGCTTACTCCTTCCTATCTGGTGTCCTGCCCACAAATTCGAGATGCCTTGACTCAAAGTCTGATTCCTGTCTTCTCAACTCAACAAGAGCTCCGGGTTCTGTTTGGGTTCTACCTCTCTGGGCTTTGATCTAAAAATTACCTTCCAGGCAGTAAACTAGTGAAATCATAAGACTCGTCTCATGTATTTTCCTTCTCTAAGAGATCACTGCCCTGTGCTACCTATTGTTCAGTGTCTGAAAACCATTGTTTCATGTACTTGTTTTTCTAGTTGGTTAAGGCATGAGGGTAATAAATCCAGTCCCCGCTTCTTGACCAGAAACTGAAGTTCCCTATTCAGTTTTGATGCGTTAACAACTGGAGTTAGAAGGTGGTCACAACTTTTTACTGCTAAATTTTATGCTGTTTGCTCTAATCAGTAATGCTTTATTTAAAAAAAATAAGAGGGAAGCTGCTTTTATTTTATATACATTCTATCTTTGAGGTTTTATTGACTATTTTTAGCCATTCATTTTGTCATGGTTGATTATTTACTCCTTTATGTGCTTAGTGCTGTCTCATTCAATTACAAACAAAGAAACAAAAACCCCAACTCTGCAAAGTAGACATCTTCATTTCACAAAGAGGTAACTGAGATTCAGAGAAGTTAAGTTTAAATGTCATGGCATTGTTTTTGGCCCTCAGAATGTATGAATTAAACTCCCTTGACACAAGTCTAAGGTTCCTTTTACATACCAGTTTTCTTTTTACCTCTTTTGCTCTTTTTGGTCTTAATTTTTACATAATTATTGTTTTTCAAAGAGACATCTATAATTCTGCCTTTCATCATGCAGACTGGTTTCAATAGAAGAAGAAATAATTAGGGACCATTTTGAAAAGCTTGAATTAATGCTTAGGTAACTGGATTTAAGAAAATCGTTAGCAATATGGTTTCTGTCAACATCATAGTTTCAAGGTATTTGGTTTCCTCGATATTTCATAATATTTTATAAACCAAATACTGTCTTCATTTTGCAGGAGGAGCTGAAGATAAAATTGTTTCTTGGCAAAGGACACTTTTTGATTCAGAAGGTAGATGTAGAATAAAAATCCATTAAAAATTGAACTGAAATGCGTTAGACTGTCAGTGGCAAACTAGAGCCATACATTGCTACTCACCTCAATCTCATGTATTCTGTTTGGGATTTGCTTCCTTTCCTCATCTAATAATTTATGTGCTCAATGGCCTGAGTCACCATCACAAGAAATAAATAGAACCTAAGGATAAGATTTCAAGTTCCAGCCACTGCTAGAGTGAAGATGGAGTTTAGAATGCTAGCAGTGGAAATCAATGGAAATTTCAACAGAGCAAAGCAGATATTGTTGAACATCACAGTAGCTTCTGAGACTTCTGAGTGCCGGTGTCACCCATGGGACACAATATATTAAGATTCCTATTACCGGACACCAGAAAACTGGTATGTATAAGAAACCCAAGACTTCATGTTAAAGGAATTTTGGTTCATATATTCTGAACACCAAAAGGATGCCCTGACATTTAAACTTAACTTCTCTGAATCTCAGTTTTCTCTTTGTAAAATGAAGATATACATTTTATAAAGTTTCTTTTTAAATTGAATGGGACAGCACCACCAGGTGAGCATAAACTCACTTGTTTATTGAGCCCTCTCTATGTGCACCACCATCAGCACACAGAAAAAGCTCAATAAACAAGTACAGTGACACATCACTTAACAGTGAGGATGCATTCTGAGAAATGAGTCTTAGGTGATTTTCTGGTGTGTGAACACCATGGAGTGCACTTACACACACCTACACATCCTTACACATGGTATAGCCTACTACATAACTAAGCTAGCTTATTGTTTCTAGGCGGCATACCTGTGCAGCATGTTACTATATTGAATATTTTAGGCAAATGAAACATACTGGTATCTGTGTATCTAAACAGAAAAAGTACAATAAAAATACAGCATTATAATCTTATGGGACCAGCATCATTGATTGAAATGTTTTATGGTATGTAACTATGCTTCTTTTTTACTTTCTATATAAAGAGCTCAAAAAACAAAATACTGAGGGTAATATGATCGTTTCAAATGATTACGACACAGTCAGTTTTACCAAATTGTGTTCATTTTCACTAACTGGGAAGGCAATATTTGAAATAGGAAAGATAAGCACTTACCTTAATGTAATAGAAGGCTTAATTTAGTATCGGGGCAGGTAGGCATCTCAGAGGCCCTTTGTTCTGATTTTTTTTTTTCTGTTAGTCAAAAAAAATAGGACCTCAGAAGTCTGCATTTATCTGAGATGAAGATTCCTTAGTAAATCTGAGACCCTTTCATTATTGTTCTGTAATTGCTACTTTATTAGGGGTGTACCCACACTATTTTACTATTGTGGAATTGAATACATTTGAAGTTTGAGCAGCTTCACAAAGCAAATTGTGGTTATTTACATGTTTTCTTGCCCTTTCTATTTCCTGTCTTTAAGCTGATGATAATTTAGAGTCATTATTAAATAGTTGTTACCTTTTGGAGTATAATATCTTTTACATAACCACTTTAATTTTAAAGGCATCTTAGTGGATTCTTTATGACGCCTACAAGTGCATGTAATAACAGTTGTCTTAGTCCATTTTCTGTTGCTGTAGAAGAGTACCTGAGACTGGGTAATATACAAAAGAAAGAAGTTTGTCTAGCTCATTATTCTGGAGCTTGGAGGGCCAAGAATGGGTGGACACATATGGTCAGCTTCTGGTAAGAACCTCATGCTCCCTTATAACATGGTGGAAAACTGGAAGGAAACCAGGTGTGTGTGAAAAAAGGGCAAAACACAAGAGGCAGCCTCGCTTTATAACATCCTGCTCTAGTGGGAACTAATCCATTTCTGAGAGAACTAACTCAGTCTTATGGAAAAGACATGAATCCACCTTAATGACCGTGTTATTTACCTCTTGAGGACACCAGCTCCCAACACCACGACCTTGAGGACCAAGCCTCAACCTGAGTTTTGGTGGGGACAAACCATACTCAAACCACATGGCCAAGCTTAGACTTACGGTGATACCGAAAGCTGCTGGCTTCCAGCCTTCCTTATCTCTCCCTAAGCATCATCCTTGAGAACCAAGTCTAAAGAAAAACCAAAGCTGTCTTGCTACCAAGCAGAATTTTGCGTTTATTAAGCCACAGGAATCTGTGGTAATTGGAAGTGCTGGGTCCAGGACCTTGTGTGAGGGTCAAGTTTTCTATAATGGGACAAAAAATGAGGGACCTCTTTTCTTTCTTTCAGTACTCTTACCAATTCAGAGCTCAAAAGCATACAAAAACCCAGCAAGACCAGGCTACCTTGTGAAATATTCATTTGCCTTTCCTGTTTGCTAAAATTAACTTACATAATTTACAAATAAACTTACTAGAGAGTTATTTCTACACCTGCCTTAAGGGACTGTGTAAGTTTTCATTATACCTCATCATGGTGGATTTAAGCTTATATGCCT